AACCACAACTGTTCCTCTGAATTACTTTCTTGAGAAAGGTTGCCCATTACTCTGAATCCTAGCTGTTGTAGTTGTCAAGGGACCCCAGAAACAGATCCTGTCAGTTCTAACCTGCCATAACCTAATATATAAAAATTGGGCTGAAGCCTCCAACCCAGCTGGAAGCCTGAAAGGAAGGAATCCATGCAGGAACCAGTAAAGAGGAAAGGTTAGTTCCAACAGGACATACTGAGTGATCACTCTGCCAGGCTACCTTCTTCGTGACAGATGCCACAAACCCTTGGGATTACATATAAAGGGTAGCATCACTTCAGATCAAGGTTGGGGGCAAAGACTAGAGCTCTGCTCCCCAGCAAATGAGAAGATCTCAATTTCAGTGGATCCTAACTATGACCTGGTTTGTACTGTCTTCCTTTGCCAAGCCATTAATTACAGTGCAGTTAAGCCAAAATCTCTTTACATTTCTGCTTCATGGACTGCCTTTTTTAGTTAATTGGACTGTAAGAACACCAACTACTCAGGCTTCCTGGAGAACTGGGTTGCCTGGAGGACTTAAAAGCTATCTAAGTATTGTATGGCAAAAAACCTTGGCAAGCATGTAAGGTCTCTGTGAATTGTAAAGGCAACATCATTGAGGACAAGGTCACATGCTCCCCACCAATTCAGCATTCTCTCTCCTAGGAGTGACTCTCTCCTCCCTCAGAGCAGAATTGGGCAAGACAAAAGATAAAGAAGTTCCTTCCTACTTCTACCCCAACAGACTCAGGTTAGCAGGGGATGGAACAGGATCTTCCTTTGGCTTCCTGTGGAGGGAGTTTATGATGGAAGGATTCCAAGGCCAAATCAGGTATCAGTGGGAAGTTGGTCCAAATGCACTATGCCAAAAATTTAAAAATAAATAAATAAATGAGTGGAAAAAGAGAGATGAAAAGGTGGGTCAGGGAGCCTCAAGTACCAAGCAAACAAAGCTGGAGATGGACACAAAAGCAAGTAGGTATATACTAGTAGGACAAAGCTGACAATCATCCAGGGGCAGATTCAGCCCTCAGTTCAGGGTGAATCTAAATTAAGGCCAGTCAAAAGATTCCTGAAGTGTTGGGGTGAGGTCTAAAGAGGAAGTCTCCAAATGGTATGCTATCTCTGAGGAATAGTACCAGCCTTCAGATGAAGCTGAGGATTGCAGGTGGTAAGTATACGTGATAGTAAAAACAATCTCAACCTGTCCCAACAAAGATACAGGCGTAACTTGGAGTTACTTTGGGTTTGGTTCCAGAATAAAGCAAGTATCACAATAAAGTGAGTCATAATCTTTTTGTTGGTGGAGGATCTTGTCTTCAATTTTTAACAATTGCAGCACCTGCAAAGCTCAATAAAGTGAAGCACAATAAAATGAGGTATGCCTGCACTGATGATTCAAATGAATACAACCATGGCTCTAGACAACAGCCAAGTGGCTGGTCTAAGAATCAGCATAAATGGTGAGTAAATCCTTATAGAAGTCCCTTGGCTCAATCCTAAGAGCTCCATCCATACTTGGGTGAGACAGATTTAAATCCTCATGCTTGGGCTCTTTATACACCCATGAATGGCACCGTTAGAATTTCTGGAAAGCATCATCAGAATCATGAAAGCTCCACCAGAAGCCAAAGTAATGGGTGAGCTAGAGACTAGCATCCTATTATTTAGAGTTCTTCTATCCTCCCTGTGCCTTGTTTTTCCCAAATACCCCCTACAAATGAACTAATTCATTTCCCTGTCAATGAGGTTGAGCATCTTTTCATATGTTTGTTGACAATTTGTATCTCCTCCTTGGTGAATTACTCACTTACACACTTTTTCTAGTTTTCATTGGGCTGTTTGTCATTTTCTTATCAATTGGTACTGAACCCCTTTAAGTGTTGCAAATATTTTCTCCTATTGTTTGTTTTTTACTTATACAGTAATCTTTTATTTTTATGTAGTTAAGGCTACCAATTTGTGTATTTTGGATATTTCAGCTTGCTCGCAAAAGTCTCTCAAAAGTGTAAAAATATTCTCTTATCGCTTTTCCTTTGTCATACTAACCAAAATTAAAGGGCAGTAACAGCATTGATGAGAGAGCTGGGAAATGATATTCTCATATCCTATTGGTAGGAATGTGAGTTTTTACAGCCATTTGGAAAATAATCTGTCTGTAACTACTGGCATGTAAAAATGCACATATCCTTTGTCTAAGCAACCCCATGTTGAGTCATTTTTTCCACAAAACACTGGTTCACAAAAGAATGTATAGTGAGGAATAGAATGAAGAAATAAAATGGAGTCACTGTAGTCAAACTGGTAAATTACTAAAATCAAGTATGTTGACACATGAGAAAAAGATTCTATTCTTGTTTTAACTAGCCTGGGAACTTAACCTTTTGAATTTTCCAGTCCTGAATCAATGCCTGGATATACACCAAACCTCCAGAAAATCTGAAGAACTAAGGAAAGAATGTTCACGTTTCCAGACCACCTGACATCTATTATCCAGACCACCAGCCGCCTAGAGGATTACCATCTCAGACCAATCCAGAGACTAAGAATACAGAACTGATTCTTCTCAAGAATGTGCTCCTTATCCATGCTGCATCTACTATAGGATGAAGACCATTCTCAGCAATCAGACTATCGACATTCAAAAAAATGTCAACATCACTCTGAAGGGATGAAGTGATTGTCAAAGGCCCCAGGTGCAGCTTGTGGAGACACCTGAATCACATCAATGTAGAACTCAGTCTCTTAGAAAGAAAAAGAAGAGGCTCCAAGTTGATACTACCTTATTTTAAGTTCTCTAAGGTACTGATGAACTTCCTCAGCATATTCAGTCACATTTATCACACCTGAACCAAAATCTGATGCATAATCAGGCTGGGAATAAAGATCTGAATCTACCAGCATAGGGGAAACTGTGCTTAAATTCAGCAGGAAGTGAAAATCTGACTTGTCTACTGTTGTCTACTTCATACACATCCTCAAATGCCATCTTATAGCTCCCTGTGCAGCTGTTTCTGTCTTCTTTCTTGGGCTCATCCATGTAGGTAATGTAGGTATCAAATCCTTGCTTGGCTGAAACATGGATCCCACAGTCAGAGAGCACTTTCTTCTGGCTTGAGGGAAGACAGTTTCTGATCAAGAGAAATACCTGTGTTTTGATCCCCTGGTCACAGGTCCTCCTGTACTGCCCATCCTCAGTTAACAAACCTAGCACTGTTCTTTTGGGGGATCCTGGCTGAGCTGGACTCTGGTTATCATCTGACAGGCATCAGGACCTTGAGACACTGGAGCCGGGACTACTTGGCTCTTAGAGCTGCTGAAATGAATCGCTTTAGTCTCCACAGGCTGCTGCAATCAGGGAAGGAGAAAGAGAAAAGCTGGATTCGTCAACCTCTTTCACCAGGAGCCCCAAGGATGCAGCAAATCTCTAGGAGGAAGAGCACTAAGACTTGATATTCCCCGCAATTATAATGGCTGAAAGAATGACTCTTTACTAAAATAACTCTTAGCTTTTCTTTCTTCCTCAGAATACTCTGAGTATTGCCTAGTTGTGTTTCTCGTTTGCAAACTCTAGTCCCTGGAATAAATCTTTGTCATTTATTTCTAGCCAAAGTCTCCAGACTCTTTTTGAGTTCATTTGACAGTACAAATGTTAGGACAAGAGTCTCAAGGTCTGGGCAGTTCTTACTAAATGGTATCTTGCAAAAATGTTAAAATGTAGCACAGTATTTTGTAGATACAGCTTTAAACAGGATATGTTTGACAGGAACTCAACAAGATGAGTGTAGCCAACTGCAAAAAAATCAGTGTGTAATTGACCAAATAGTGTATATAAGCAATAGCTAAGCTGCCCTTCAGGGAGGCAGAGCTTTGAGTGTGAATCCTGTCTCATTTACTTGTTGCAAATAAATAAAACAATCAAATGACAACCGCATCTTATTGTTAAATAGGACATCCCAAGCAGGGAACCCCTTGAGTTCTGGTAACACATTTGGCAACTCAGATAGAACTCTCCTAAAGGGACCCCCTCTGGGCCTGGCGTGGATGCTTGGCGAAGCAGTCAGCAGCAGCAGCAGCTCGTCCAGAGCTTACTTGCCTATGTCTCCACTGGATGAGGGATCTGTTCTATAGGTGACTCCTGCTTGATGTTGACCACTGGAATGGCCACCTGACCTGCCTCCACCATGAAACAGAGTGACTACGTGAACCTCTTTTGTTCAGTGCATCAGAAGGGAGGTGGGTAGGTCAGCCCATGGTTGCTTTAATTAGTATTTCTATTCCTGTTTTGGATATAGGATTGTCAGAAGGATAGTTTAATTTCTGGTTCTCTCTTGGTTGCAGGTTGGTTGTGTGACACCAGATTTAGGGCCCCACCTAGGTCTAACTCGAGGGTTGAGGAATAACTGTAGGGTAATCCAAAACATCCTCTGGTGACAATCTCTGGTGGTGGTATTTGGTTGTCAGGGAACCCTGGGTCACTGATAGTGTCTTTGGTGAGCTAAAGGTTAAGAGATCATAGTTTCTACCATCCTTTAGTTTCTGTTTTGTAGAGGTGGATTTTGTTCTTTGTGCATATGTTTGCATTTGCCTTTTTTGTCTTATGTGTAAATATGCTGGCTATGGGGAACTCAAATTCGATGCCCGAATGCAGCCCCTTCAGGTGCATCCTCCAGAAATGGATAAAAAGAGCTGTGTTTGTTTCTTTAAAGAAATTAAGTGCTTATACAAATTAATGTAATAAATGGGTCAATGGAAGGAAACTGCCCGTCCTGTCCAAGGTGAATTCAGGAGGCACTGTTTTCTAAGTGCAGCTTCTTTGCTTCCTCAGGTTTCAGCATATCCCATGAGATCATTTACTTTATGCACAAAAGCTTCTCCCCTGCAACCCTCTCCATCCGTGCTTCCATCCAAGGAGTACACTTTCTGGAGTACCCACAGCCAAGGTGGAACTCATCATGGGAAATAGGAATGGCATCCAAGCCTTGCAGTTCCCTGAACAACAATGAGGTTCCCATCAGACTGGCCTCATGGTTTCCAGTGGAGGCGATCTCGGATAGAAGAGAGGATCTCTTACCTAGAAGACAAGCAAGACTGAGCAACAAAGGTTTGGCTGTAGAATTCAGGGGCCAGTCCATGGTTATTGGTGTAAAGATATATGCGTGGGGTTATTTGGTAAGAAACTGGTTTCATCTATGAGCCAAAAAAAAAAATGAAGCACATTTTGTAGGCTGTTTTAATAAGACTCCCACTGCTTCCCTTTGTCTGAAGGATAAGGGGAGAAAAATTACATGCCACATCTCTCCAAAGAGTCTCACTGATATAAAGAGATGTTCTATTAGCAGATGTGATTTCAAAAATTTTTCCAAGGGGGTGATAACACAGGCCATATGCCCTAGGAATACTGAAAATTAAAGAAAACTAAGATTACCTGATTGAATTGGTGTAAAAAAAAAAAAAAGAGAGAGAGATAAAAGTCTGCTATGATTTGAAAATGTAGGTAGCCCTGGCCAGTGTGTCTCAGTTAGTTGGAACATCATCCCGTATACCAAATGGTTGTGGGTTCAATTCCTGGTCAGGGCACATACCTAGGTTGCAGGTTTGATCCCAGTCAGTATGCATACGGGAGGCAACCAGTTGATGTTTCTCTCTCACATCAATGTTTCTTTCTCTATCTCTTTCTTTCACTCTCTCCCCCCTCCTCTCTAAAAATCAATAAATATATATTTTTAAAAATTATTTAAAATGTAGGTAGAATCAACCATATGTATGTATTTTGAGTAACAGAAGCCAAAAGTTTGGGCTTCCTAGCCACATAGTATGGGAGGAAGGTGGAAATGACACAGGGAAATGAACTGCCTGTAGTGTGATGAAAAATTTGTTAGGAAATCAATTACTGGTTCCCTGTCCATTTATCTGCAAGGATGGTTTTGAGTGGACAGGTAAACAGTCATGCATTCCCTGTGTCAGTCCAAATCAAGTCAAGACTCTTGAGACTTCAGCCTCTTTTCTGAGCAACAGCCTATTAGCTCCTCCTCTCTCCTCCAAAGCTGTGGGGTGGAACAGGTTGAGGTCAGAGAGCTTGCTTGCTCTCTGTATCCACTAGGTGCTTCTAAACTGTGTCCCCTCCTTGAGAAATGACCCTCACTCAGCCAGGGCACAGGCCCCTATGGCTCTCGGAGTCTGCTGACTGGCAGTGGAATGGGCTGACCCGGGCAGTTGCCCTGCTGTGGAAGCAGCAGATAGAGCAACCCAGTGTCTGTCACAGCTAGATGCACTTGCAGAAGTTCAGGAACCGAACACTGCACTGCTAGGGTGTGAGCTGGGAGGGAGACAGGGAGGCCACACCACCCAGAACCTCTTTTAGCAGAGTGGGTCTGAATTGTGGAATGTGAAACAAAATATTAATCAAGGTATCCTGGGCCTGTCCTCTGCCTCCCACAGTCGCACTTGCCTAGAACATGGGGAAAGCCTTGGGGGAGGCCTTTTCAGCTTCTTTTTTCTAGAAGTCCAGAAGCTAGAGGGCTGATAGGAACAGCAACCTATAACTGTTGTAGGAGGTGACTCTGCCATTGTGGGCATCTTCGGCTGGAGAGAAGAGGTGAGGCAGGGTGGTGCCTTATGTGAGTAGCTTTTCATGACATTGCTAATTCTCCTTAATTTTCCCTCCTGTTTCATTATTTTAACTACCTCTGCCTGCAGCTGTTTCTAGTACCTTCTTGAGCTCAGAATCAGAGTTTCATGACTAATGTTTCTAAACTGGGGGTGGGAGTGGAGGGGGTGGGGGAGCCACAGTCTGTGAAAAATGGAAACTAAGGGTATATAGACCCCAAGTGACCTGCTCATCTCAAACCTTGTCCCATGCTGAACTAAAAGGGGGCAATGAAGTTGTATAGGCACCATTTAAAAAAAAAAAAAAACCTGGGTTTGGACTACCCAGGATCTTTCAAAATGACAACGGGGCAGCTTTCACAATGGCCATGATAATGGGACCAGTAGGCTCTACAAATTAGGTGGGCCTTACATTCTTCATGGAGACCACAGTCTTCATGAAAAACACTCAGAAAGACCCTGGCCAAACTATGCTAGGAAACCAGTGAGATCTGGCTTAAATTACTACCAATTATTCTGTCCTGGATCAAGGCACCACCTAAAGAAATGCTTACGTAAAGTCCTTTTGAATTTGTGAATGATAGGCCCTCCTGGGCTCCTCCCAAATTTTATGATACCCAGACCCATTAATAGAATAGGCTGTTAAACATATTATCCAATTAGGAAAAGTAACTGAAAACTTTAATTTGAATTTACCAACACCAACAGGTACACCCATATGATCCAGGGAACTGAGAATATTTAAAAACCTGGAAATCAGGATCCCTGTGAGAACAACAGAATTCAATATGGACAGGTCCTCGTTTGGTATTATTAACAACTCATTCTTCTCTGAAACTGTAAGATAAAGCTCCATGGATGGGATATAGCTTTCTCAAATGAAGCCAATTATACCACTCAGTGAGGAGGAAGAAATAGATCCATAGTTCTACTGTGAACCAGTCTGACCTCAAGCTGCCCTTCAAAAGACAAGTGATGCCCACTTACTATTATATATTCCTGTTCTCAGAAATCCCAGAACCTAGGGTACCCCATAAGTCAGGCAGCCAGAGAATTTCACTCATCTTACTCAAAGACATACCCATTCCTGTTGAGCAGGAAGTAGTTAAAGTATGACCTATGTCCCCATGCCCTCAAGAATGGGGAATGAAAAAATCTTAGGTAGAACTGTTAGATAGGACAAGGTTCTCAAGGTCTGGGCAGTTCTTACCAAATGCTGTCTTGCTAAATGTAAAATGTAGCACAGTATTTTTGCAGATGCAGCTTTAAACAGGATGAGCTTGACAGGAATTCAACATGTTAAGTGTAGTCATCTGCAAAGAAGAAATCAAATGTAATTGACTAAATAGTATACATAAGCAATGGCTAAGCCTCCCTTCAGGGAGGCAGAGCTTTGAATGTGATTCCCCTGTCTTCTTGACAACTACATTTTATTCTTGAATAGAACATCCCAAGCAGTGAACTCTGTGAGTTTAGTAACACAAAGATGTTAAGTTCATCAGCATTTTGTGTAGGGCAAAAATGAGAAACAGCCTGAATTTCAAACAGTAGGCAACAGCTGAATGAATTGCATGGTGGAGGTAATTGCATTCTGTAGTATATTTTACTGTTATTAAAAATAATGATTTGGGCCCTGACTGGTGTGGCTCAGTGGACTGAGTGCCAGCCTGAGAACCAAAATGTCGCTGGTTTGATTCTCAATCAGGGCACACGTCTGGGTTGTTAGCCAGGTCCCCAGGTGGGACTGTGCAAGAGGCAACCAAACAATCTATCTCTAGCACATCAGTGTTTCTCTCCCTCTCTTTCTCCCTCCCTTCCCCTCTTTCTAAAAATAACTATATAAAATCCTTTTTAAAAATGCCTATTAAAGTGCTAGATACTGTGCTAAAGACTTTACTTGCTTGATTTCATTTAATCCTTGAAGCAATCACATGATAATATTATTCCAGTTTTACAAACAGAGGACACTTAAGTGTAGAAAGGTTATTTGCTCAACACTCTTAAATAAATGACAGAGGCTGGATTTCATAACCCCTACTATTAACCAGGATATTACACATGTTATGAGCAAGAAAAAGTAAGCAAGTATGAACAGCTAATCCTAATCTTCTTGGCAGGAACAGCCCCACCGTGGAGTGGGTAGCATAGAGGTATCAGGGTTTAATAAGCTAATCATTGAATTTAACTAATTCCCTTTTTCCGACTCCATTTTGGTCAAATAACCTTGTAATTATATTCTGGCTTCCCATATAGATTTTTCTGCGGGAAGATAATGCACTGGCCAGCCTACACATGCAATTTGTTCCAGCTGGCAATTTTATTACTTACTGTGAATTAACAAATTGGAATTCTGCTTTTTCTTCCTTAAAAAAAAAAGAGGTGAAATACACTAAAACAAAATATGAAATAGTCTTAAAGTTTTTTCATGAAATTAGTTTTTAAAATAAAAATAATATATAGTCTTTTCACAAATATGGTCATTAAGTCTACTGATGAGCCCCCTTTCTTTACCTTATTTGTCAAAGCCCCTACCATAGCCCAAGAGCTTCCGTTGTTTCCCAACTGGTAAAGTCCTCTCCTTCTGCATGCACTCAGAGGATTGTTCGTCATGAGGATAAGCAGCAGGAGGTTGCTACTGGGGTCTCATGCCTGTCCGCCGGGATAATATACACTCTATTCCAGGAGCAGGCGCCTTCCCAACAACACCATTAAACCCGATGTTAACGTGCTTGGGGCCACAACAACAGCAGCCCCTGCCAAACCTGCACCCAGTCTGCAGCCCCTACCCACCAGACGAAGGGACAGCCATCCTCTTTTCCGCTTGTGGGCTCCTTCCAAACAGGGACTCCATGAAATCTGTTCCTGACTCCCTACTCTTTGTTGGCTCAAGTTTTGTTCTTTTTTCTTCTCTCCCTATAATTTCTTTCATGGGCAAAACCAGGACAAACGCAGGTGGACATTTTAAAGTGAAAGCTTCATGAAACATACTGTTTCCCCTCGTTAAGATGTCTGCTTAACCACATACAAGGGCTAAATAGGGCTTTCCCTCAAGAACAATATTCAAGTCTCTTGAACAGAAGATTGAGATGACACTCCAAACATCTATTCCCCCCCCCCCGCCCCCGCCCTCAACGACGTAGGAAAAGTCAGCGAATGCAAGGTCAGCTTTGTGAGAGGCCTCCTTTCCTGAATGGAGAAAAGAACGGAGCAGAAGGATCAACAAAGGGAAGGGCCTCTCAGCAACTTTAGCTCTGGGTGTGGAAGGAAGACTGCAATCGTTTAAATCGACGACAGAACTTTCACTATTCTGATTTTCAGTCATTTTCACCAAAGAGGCTTTAACCAAGAAATTACATACAGGAACACGTCTTTCTAGCCAAAAAAGAAAAAGATTACTAGCAACTAGGCGTCCCTCCTCAGGATTTCCAGCTGCCAGCAGCATGCAAGGGTGGGGATGGATCGGGCGGTGCGAAGAATCGTACGCTGACCAGCCAAGATGGCCACTTTCACAGGGCTGAGGGGCACTGGCTCCCTGTCACCCGGGCATCCAAACGCGGGGCCGCCAGAAAGACCCACGGGAAAGAGCCAGAGGACAAAACCTTCACGATTCCCATCGCCACCGCTGGGGGACGCGACCTCACCGCCAGACACTGGGGCCAACGGTCAGCAGGGAGGTGCCATGTCACAGCACAGGGGAGCAACTCCATTAAGCCGTTGTCGCTTTTCCTCCCACATCATACACAGAAGGGTACAACGACTCGTACACTCGTGTTTCAACTTATTCCTTGTTATAAGTGCTTACGATAGTTAAACATTCGCCGGAGGAGAGAATAACCTCCACTCCCTCTCACTGCCTCGTAGAGTGGTTTCGCCCGAGCTACCCTCGGCGCACCGCCCCTTCACCCCCCGCGCTAGTGGCGCATAGGCTCGCCGCTTAGAGAGGCGGGCCCGAGCCCGGCGCGCGCGGGCGCTGTATATAAATACTGCGCCGCGTCGCTTGCTTGGTCGTTCCGCACCGTCCGCCCTGACTTGAACTCGGTGTTTGGCCTGCGCATTTCGCAGTCGTCGCCTCACTGCTCCCTTTTCTCTTTCCTCAACGTCACTTTCACTCACCGCCACTTGTCACCAACACCAACATGAACGGGCAGCTCAACGGCTTCCACGAGGCGTTCATCGAGGAGGGCACGTTCCTCTTCACCTCGGAATCTGTGGGGGAAGGCCACCCAGGTGAGGTGACGGGGCCCGGCGCGAAGGAAGGGCGGGGTGTGGGACCCGGCCGGGCTGGCTCCGACTGGCGGATGGTGGTGCCCACATAGGTTGCCCTCGCTCACTGGGCTATAGGAAAAGCGGCGGCTGCGCGCCTTCCTCGAGTCGCCGCCGGTGCTGAGCGCGTGTCCGCTGTTCCCCTCCCCCTTCTCTTTCCTTCCCTTCCCTCCCCTCCCATCCGGCCGCGCGCCCCGGCACGCGGAAGATTCCAGAAAACGAGAAGGGCGGAGGCCGCGGCAGCTTGTGCTCTACCCGGGGAGGGCACTATTTCCTCCTCTCCGCCCCGCTCTCCGAAAAGCCTCGAGTGGGCGACCCGCCCGGGGTGCTCGCGCCCGGCCCTCGGGAGCGCGCGCCCCGCATTGCAGCCGCAACCACGTGTCTGCCTCATGTGGCATCTGGGTCGGGCGAGTGACCGGGCTGCCGGGCTGCCGGGCTGCCGCAACGCTCGGAATTGTGGAGTCCGGGGCTAGTGCCTCCGAACGCCCTCTTCCATGAGTTCCTTCGCTTGGGTCACTGTTACTCTCCGAGAATACGGACCATCCCTTAGGCAGTATATGGTCTCTCCTTTGAGGTGACAGTCTCCAACTAAATATAGCGCGTGTTGGGGAGAAGGCATGCCTTATTTGGGCCGCGATTGAAAAGGATGAAAGCATGAATTGAGCGTAAGCTGCCATTGCGTTTTAAAGTACCTCGTTTCCTTCTCCCGGCTTTGTCCACTGGTCCGCCATTATGGGGATCAGTTTACACGTGGGTGAGTGAAGCTCTTCCAAGGAACTTTCAACCTGAAAACGTCACCTGGTAAAGATCATTGTTTTGCTGGACGGCTTCTGCTCTTAGGTTGACCACAATACATAGTTATCTAGCGTGATGATTTAAGGGTCCATTTCTCTAGTAAATCTACTATACCTTTGATGAAGTTCTACAAGCACAACCTAGTGGTATAGAAGACAAAACCCAAGACTCTGATGAGTGAAGGTCGGGTCACTTAATCATTTAAGTCACAGGCATTTGTGACAGTTTGTAGATTGTCTTGAACCTTTGTCTTGACTGGAGTGTTCATTTTGCTTCGTTATAGAAAATTCAGGCAAGTGATAGTGGGGTATTTCTATTCCTATCCCAATTTTTAATAGATGACAATATAGAGGAAAAATGAGCAAGGATTCGGAATACATTTGGGCATTTAGCAGTCTGTTCAGCTTTTGTTCCTAGACTACACGTAGCAATCAAATAATCTGCTGTTTCATTACTTTTGTTAAAAGTGTCCTTGCTTTCATTGTTTAATCCTCATTAACGTCATTTCTCATTGCTGTAATTGGTGTTCCTCAGATCAGAGAGAAATTAGTGAGGGAAAAAAAGTTTACCCTTCTGGTTGGTTGGATTTATAATGCAAACTTTCAAAATTTGGGGATAAAATGTTGAGTATTGTTTGAAAATCGACACTCTAAAGCTAAATGTTTCCTAGCTTTGCTTTGGATGTGAAGATAAAACCATTTTATTTGTACTTTCACTTGAGTAATCTCAATAATGTGACTGTTCAGTTTTAACAGTGGAAATTGTTTTGCCTGGGAACTTAATTTTTCAAAATGTCTGAAATACTTCAGAGATGGGACTGAAGTCCATGTCATGTGTAAAGTACATATGCCGCACAAAATTGAAATGTATCGCCAGGCATTCTATTGGCTTTATCTGAATTGGTGAGCTTGTGGTACAGCTATATGAAGACGATGGTGTCAGGTTTTCAAGTAAAATGCAACACTACATTCAGTATTTATTCTTTAGGCAAACGGCTCCTGGTAAAACAGTGCTTTGATTATACAGCAGTTAAGATCTCCATATTTGGAATGCTACTGAATTGTACACTTGAAAATGTCCAAAATGCTAAGCCTTATGTAGGTTTTAATCACAATTATGAGGAGAAAGCTCTACCAAAGATCTTTACAGCTGTGGTTACCTGGAAGGGGGCATGACATACATTAACAGTAAGTTAAAGAGATTGAGCTAGGAATTGCTTTTTTCCAGATAAGATTTGTGACCAGATCAGTGATGCTGTCCTTGATGCTCACCTTCAGCAGGATCCTGATGCCAAAGTGGCTTGTGGTAGGTTCAGAACACTGCTGCCTCCTTTTTCTTTTTTTTTTTTTTAGAGAGAGGAAGGGTGGGTGGGAGAAACTAACACTGATGTGCGAGAGAACCATTGATTGGTTCCCTGTCACGTCCTCCTATCCAGGGACCTGACCCACAACCCAGGCATGTATCCCAAGTGGCAATCAAACAAGCAACCTTTTGGTCTGCAGGAGAATGCCCAACCCACCGAACCACACTAGTTAGGGCCAGAACATGGCTTCTTATCAACTAATGAAAAGATAGCATCATGAAAATTATAAAAGTGACCCTTGAGTGTGAACCTCTGTTTTATTAGAAACTGTGGCTAAAACTGGAATGATCCTTCTTGCTGGGGAGATTACGTCCAGAGCTGCTGTTGACTACCAGAAAGTGGTTCGTGAAACCATAAAACACATTGGATATGATGATTCTTCCAAAGGTACATTTGAATGAGTTGGCTTTTCTAAGCTTATTTTTAAAAATTTTTCTTCAGTGCTCTCTAGCTCTTTCTCCTAAAGATGTTCCTGTTAATATTTAACTCCACTTACATAGTTTCCGTATCCTTTTGTTCCAGCCCTGTTCCGTTCTCTAAAAGTACTAAGTTTTAGCTATATTTGATTTCTTTAGCAATACAGGTGACTCTTGAACAGCACAGGGGTTAAAGGCATCAACCTGACCAATGGTACCTTGCTCCCTTCCCCCTACACACAGGTGGTCTTATGATCTATGGCCAAGTGGCAGAAGTGTTATTCAAGGGTCAACTGTATAGAGTTCCAAATAATTTTTGTAAGAAGGTATTAATTATGGCCTTTTTAAAGAAAACTGCTTTATTTTATTATAGGGTTTGACTACAAGACTTGTAATGTGCTAGTAGCCTTGGAGCAACAATCACCAGATATTGCTCAAGGTGTTCATCTTGACCGGAATGAGGAAGACATTGGTGCAGGAGACCAGGTATTGTGATAGGCAGTATCTGCATCTCTTTTAACATTGCATTTTGAGGCTTGGATTGATAACATTGGTGGCTTTGCTTTGTAGGGTTTGATGTTTGGTTATGCCACTGATGAAACTGAGGAATGCATGCCTTTAACCATCGTCTTAGCACACAAGCTCAATGCCAAACTGGCTGAACTGCGCCGCAATGGCACTTTGCCTTGGTTACGTCCAGATTCTAAAACTCAAGTAAGTGATGATAATGTAGCTAAATTACATATATGCATTGGTCCAGGATATTAGTGAAGTTGTTTGATTAAAGCTAATAAAAGAACAGTGTTTGTCTTTTGTAACTTAGGGTAGAGAACCAAGAACGAAACTTGTTTAGTAGACTGATGTCCTGATGACCTGTGTTTCCTTTAAGGTGACTGTGCAGTATATGCAGGATCGAGGTGCTGTGATTCCCATCAGAGTCCACACAATTGTTATATCTGTTCAACATGATGAAGAAGTTTGTCTTGATGAGATGAGGGATGCCCTAAAGGAGAAAGTCATCAAAGCCGTTGTACCTGCAAAATACCTTGATGAGGATACAATCTATCATCTACAGCCAAGTGGCAGATTTGTTATCGGTGGGCCTCAGGTAAGGCCTTACAAATGTAAAATCAGTTTAGTTTTCTGAATCTTCTGTGATGGTTACTGGCAAAAATGTGGCCATTACCACCTTTTTTCTTGATTTTTTTTTTGGGGGGGGGGGAGGAGTCTACCTGTGCATCTTTTGGGGATATTTGTTGAGTGATACAGAATGGGCATTTAACAAACCCAATCTAGAATCACTTACTGGAAAGGATAAGGCATAAGGTGACTTAAATCCTTTAATTTCAGGGTGATGCTGGCTTGACTGGTCGGAAAATCATCGTGGATACTTACGGTGGTTGGGGAGCTCACGGAGGAGGTGCCTTTTCAGGAAAGGATTATACCAAGGTGGACCGCTCTGCTGCTTATGCTGCTCGTTGGGTGGCAAAATCCCTTGTTAAAGGAGGTCTGTGCAGAAGGGTTCTTGTGCAGGTATATACTCTTTAATATAATTGGAGTGATTCAAAGGCATGTAAGCGGGAGGGCATTTAGTAATTTATCTACTTGTCTTTTTTTTATACCAGTGTACACAAGAGTGTGGGTCTGTTGATGATTGACTCTTAAAACATTTCAATCTTTTTAGGTTTCTTATGCTATTGGAGTTTCCCATCCATTGTCTATCTCCATTTTCCATTATGGCACCTCTCAGAAGAGTGAGAGAGAGCTATTAGAGATTGTGAAGAAGAATTTTGACCTCCGCCCTGGGGTCATTGTCAGGTAAAGATGGTAAAGCCTATTGCTAGTGAAAAATATTAAGGGTGTGGGGGTGTGAATATGTATGAGATATATTCAAGTCTGAGAATGTGAAGGAAGACTCCTTAAGTAGGGGAATGTTTTTAATTTCTAGAATGTGTTGGTGTTCTAAGTTGCCTTCAGTGAAGGCCTACATTATTAAGAAACATCCTAAAGTATAATGCTCCATGGCTTGGACTTAATCCCCCTAGAGAGTCTTCCACATTTGATACTGGGCTTTTTGCTCATTTTACCTAAGAATGTTTACTTCAAAGAAATTAGTGCAGATAAATGGGATGTTCAAAATCATTAATAAATAACCATGTAGGCTGTGGGCATTGGGACTTTGGTAAGTATTTCATGATCTCAAATGAGCTTTTGACACTTGAAATTTCTGAGAATAATGACGAGTTTTCATATTTGTTGAGCCAGGGATCGAAAAACAAGAACTATAGTTACTAATAAGGACTGTGCAAGGAGTTTGGACACCAGGGAAGTAACGAACACTTTTGCCACAAACTTTTTTCCTAGCGTACTCCAGGGAACTGAACTCATTTGCCAGAAGTCTTGAAAATGAGTCTTGCTGATTGTTTTTGTTTAATTTTAATTGATTGCTACATATTAAGTTACGGACTTATATATTCCAGGGATCTGGATCTGAAGAAGCCAATTTATCAGAGGACTGCAGCCTATGGCCACTTTGGTAGGGACAGCTTCCCATGGGAAGTGCCCAAAAAGCTTAAATATTGAAAGTGTTAGCCTTTTTTCCCCAGACTTGTTGGCGTAGGCTACAGAGAAGCCTTCATGCTCTGAGGGAAAGGGCCCTTCTTCCTAAATTTTCCTGTCCTCTTTCAGCTCCTGATCAGTTGCAGTCACTCTAGTCAATGACATGAATTTTAGCTTGTGTGGGGGGCTGTAAGTTTGGCTTGCTATTCTGTCCCTAGGTTTTTTGTTCACCATTATAATGAATTTAGTGAGCATAGGTGATCCATGTAACTGCCTAGAAACAAACCAACAACACTGTAGTAAATAATGCTTTGAAATTGAAACTTTGTGCCCTATTACCCAACCCCCTAAAATTCTAATTGCATTGACTTGCTCACCAAATGCTGAAAATGTCCTTGTAATGTGCACGTAAAGTACTTGTAGTTCCATTATAGCTTCTGTCTGGCAATGCCACAGCCCTGTCAGCATGAATTTGTAATGTCTCGAGCTCTATTATGGATGTGAAGCTTTCCCTTTATCGTCCCTATAACATGGTCCATTTTTAATTATGTAGCTCTTTGTCAGGGAGTGTTCCCTATTCAGTCATTCTTGCATGTAACGCAAGTTCCAGTTGGAGCTCTAGCCTGACGTTAAAAAAAAAAAAAGGGCAGTTACCATTAAACCATCTCCCTGGTGCTTATGCTCTTAATTGCCATCTCTTAAACAGCACCAAATCAAATCTCTCCACTTACTCAGCTGTCTTTTGGAGGACGTACGTAATAAGGTTTTTATTTAGTAAACCAATCCTATGCATGGTTTCAGCACTAGCCAAACCACCAACTCCTAGCTCTAGAAAAACAGGCACTTGGCACCCTTGTGATGTCATACAGATAAGTCATTAGGGCAGTACCTGAGGGTCTGTAGGTTGCACACTTTGGTACCAGATAACTTTTTTTTTCTTTATAAGAAAGACTAAGTACTCCACACTGCACAATAACTCCTCCCAGGGTTTTAACTTTGTTTTATTTTCAAAACCAGGTCCAATGAGCTTTCTGAACAGCTGGTGTAGCTACAGAGAAACCAGCTTTCTTCAGACAGCAGTGCTTTTGGCGGGGAGGAGGAAAATCCCTTCATACTTGAACATTTTCTAATTGCTTATTTATTGTATTCTGGGGTATGGCGTAAGTACAGAGAAGCCATCACCTCAGATGGCAGCTTTTAAAAGATTTTTTTTTTTTCCCTCAACACCATGATTCCTTTAATATGTTTCCAGCATTCCCAGGTAGGCCAAGGTGTCCTACAGAAAAACCTTGGGTTAGACCTACAGGGGTTCTGGCTGGTGTTAACAAGGGAGGGCAGAGCTGGTGCGGCTGGCCATGGAGAAAGCTGACTTGGCTGGTGTGGTACAGAGAAGCCAGCTTGTTTACATGCTTATTCCATGACTGCTTGCTCTAAGCAGAAAGTGCCTTTCAGGATCTATTTTTGGAGGTTTATTACGTATGTCTGGTTCTCAATTCCAACAGTTTAATGAAGATCTAAATAAAATGCTAGGTTCTACCTTAACTGTGTCCATTATTTTAAAGTGTTTTGGTATGAATATGATCTGAGAACATACTCTTGAACCTTGGTTAATTGTAATTATTCATTGCTCTGGGCAATCACCTCAACCCTGACTGCAGGCATTTTACAAGTGTGAAAATTCTATCCCTAGCACTAAGAAAGTTGATGATTGATTTTGGTTTCTCAAGCACTGCCTTTTTTTGGCCAATGGAATGGCTAGAGTTTCATGGGTCTCCTTATAGCAACAGCCACTGCTATAATGCCAGTGCTTTAAATTAAGGGCATGAAAACCACAAATACCAGCTTCTCCCACTACCTGAAATCTTACATAGGCCAAAATGGCATAAAGCAGACTGCAGTCTTTCAGAAAAAAGCACTAAAAAGCCTCATAAGATTTTTTGGTTAGCCAAAATGGGTATTAACACACCTTTTGTGAAAGTGGCTTAACACAAATAGAAAGCAAGGGGCGTACCTGTATTATAAAAGTGGTACTGTTCAGTTATTTTTAGACAGCTGGGGAGGGAGGAGACATCAATTGGTTGCCTCTTGTAATGCCCTGGCCCAGACTGAACCTGCAACCTAGGCATGTGCTTGGACGCAGAATCAAACCGGTGGCATTTTGCCTTGTCACTGGACCATGGTCAGGGCCAGTCTTGAAAGTTTCAACCTGTTACTTTTCATCTTGACTATTGTGAATTAATACACCTTAAATATTAATCTTAGTGTTACAAGCTGTGAGTACGTGTTCAATACACATTACAATTTGAAAAGTTTCTGAACAGGAACAAGCTTGCAATCCAACAAAATAAATGAACTAACATAACGGTGCAGATGATGAATTTCCAGAGGGTTACTCTACATTTGTAGCAGCTTACAGAAAGTCCACACAGGTTTAACTATCCTTTCTTGAGCCTAAGAGCTAAAAAGGTACAGGAGCCAGGTGGCATCTTACACCAGCATATAAAAAATCCAGTAGTGGTTCAGCTTTGACCTGCTGCAGACATGAGACCCAGAGAATGCTTGCTTATACCTGTTTGCCTGGAGGCTTAAGAATTTAGAAATGGAGGGGAGACAAGTTTAAATCTTTTTAATTTGCTCAGGAACTTGAGAACTGCTTTCATGACAGACAAGCCCCAGGATGTTTTTAAGTTTTTAGATGTTAATGCATTACTGTCTAAAGTTAGATACGCCTGTTCACTGAATAAGATGATTTGAAGACTGGATGCCTGTAACCTGGTGGGGGCAGCACCATAGAAGTAACTGCCTTGTGGTTATGTTCAGTATTTGCTAGGAGGATGCCTAAGGAGAGGTGTTTGTCTTCTATATAAGGGGTGGGAGGGATGGGACGGTGTAGAGAATTTTGAAGGGAGGAAAGTGTAGGAGCATTATTAACTCAGAAGGCCTTCTGGCCAAAAGGACACTGATAACCCACTCACAAAACAGCTGCACTTGAACAGGATCTGATTTACTCCCTTGAACAACTTTACCAGTATTAAGATGACCACACTTAACTTTCCATCCCATCCCAACATCTTCACTGAGAGAGTCTCAGTGTTGGTACACTAACAATTGGGGACTAGCAACATCCTTGTCTATATTAAAAATGCTTTTGCAAGAGTCCTCTCTCAAAGTGAAGAGCTACTTTTCTTACCAAAGGGAAGAGGGTGATGTTGGTTAGGGGAACAGAAGATAACTGAACTTAGTGGCAAAAGACATAATGCTGAGGTATACTGTGTCACTGAGAGATGTGCAAAAATATTGAAACCAGTGTTTCCCCCACACAATTCTTTCCAAGTGCTCAAGGTACCCTGTGGCACAGCTGTTGCACACAATGCTTTGTATGAATCAGGACTCACTGCCAGGCCCCACTTGCATAACTGCATTGTAGGTCTGCTCTGGGCTCCCTAACTAGATTCCAGTATAAAGGCTGAAAGAACAGACTAGAGATCAAATTAGTAGATACAAGAAAGAAGAGGTAGAATTGCTAGGATGTGAAATAAGAAATGTGAGGAAAAGATTTAAGGCTGATGACTCAGATGGCTTGGTTGAAAAATACAGTTGCCATTCACTAATAAAGGAGAAGCAGGTCTTGAGTTGGGGATGAGGGTAAGTTCTGGTCAGGACAGAGTTTGAAAGCTCTGGGATATCCAGGTGGAGATAGGTAAAGGTTTCGGGCAAGGAAGAAATCTAAGCATCACTAGAAATGATGGAATAGACAATCATTCCAAGTGTGTACAGTGAAAAAGCTGCCTGGGGGTGAAACCACCATCCAAGTGGGTGAGGTGGGGTGGGGCATGAGAAGAGAAGCATGAAAACATATGCAATCCGTTATCAAAGATACTGGGACTGCCAATTTGCTAGTAGTCTCTGTTCCAAGACCAGTTTTTTTTTGTTGTTTTTAAGTCTGCATTCTCACTCCTAGCCTGGTGCCAGGACTTTGAATTTCCACGAACTAAATTGCTTCCATTATCACCCTTGTATATACAAACTTACAAAGTGACCAAACATTCCCTAATACCTCACCAAGTTTGGTTAATACTTCACATTACCTTCTCACTAAATGACAGAATAATGCTAAATATTAGGCTTATTTTTAGTAAAATACTCCTACCAATTATCTAAATCTCCTTACTGGTTTTAACTCTATTCTAACTATTCTCATTACTGCTAGTGGAAAAACTCACCAGCTGTATAGACAGGAGAAACAAATCAGAATTGTGAAAACTGCTCTCTGTGCATTTAGAACCTGATCATCCTAATCATACTTAAGAAAACAAGTTTTAAGCTATGTTATTTCAGAATTATTGTGACTCCAAAAATTACAAGAGGCAGGGTGCAAAACCTTAAGACATACAGGAGGTTCAAACCATCAATCCATCCCTTGCTAGGTTTATGTCTGAACAAACAGTATTACCTATCAGCCTCAGTTTCTCCAACTGTAAAATAGGAGTATGTAGGCACAGTGCTTCACACAGTGCCTAGCATAGAGCAAGCACTTGGGAATAATTAGCTACTATTTTCATTATGGTACATCAAATATCTGTAAAGATTTTTGACAAATTTCCACTGCATAGGTAATGGTCCTGTAACTGGCTGCTCCCATATCTGTACCCAGTGTCTGGCCCCATTTAGAACTCTGAGTGGATGTGGTCAGGATTTGATTCAAGAGGATTAGAATTTGAAGAATCTGTGTTTGAAGGACTTGACTCCACAACTGCCTCAAAGGGTCGCAAGTTTGCATAAGTCACCTCTTGAGCCAGTTGCTCCAGGGAAGGGCGGCCTAATGCCAGATTTCGAAGAGAGATACATGTCATCAGGAAGCTGAAAAAGAGGGAAAAGGCCATCCAGTCCAAACTCCTGTTTCAGCATAGGCATTCCTACCAAAGCCCTTGGGGAACACCTGGTCCTACCTCCTCTCACCCAGGCATAAGTAAGAATTCCCTCCTCTCCAGCGACCCTCACAACCCAGATGGAGCAGCACCCTACTTCTTATACAGCCTAGTAGAGAATTCAAGGGTGAGGCAGGAATAACCCTTGGGGAGGCTAGAGGTAAACTGAGGCAGAGCAAGATGGCAAGGCCATCAGATACAGGTCCCTTACTCTTCCATTAAATCAGGAAGAGGAGAATGGAGGGAGGTTATTTAACTCTAGATTGCCCTTTCCTGGGAGAGAGTCCCTACTGTTACCCTCACTAGATAAAAGTTACCTAGACTGCAAACATCTGGTGACAATGATAAGTACTGTTGGGTAAAACTTACCTGCGGCGAAAAATATAGAGCTTTCGCAGGAAGAAGCGGAAAAATCGCTCATGGAAAGGGGTGTTGCGCCGGCGTTCAATTTCCTGAAGCCTTTGCTGGCGCTTAAGAAAGGTTTGAACCAGAGGTGTTGGCTCAGGACCTCCTTTTACTTCCCCTTCCAGCAGAGGTTGCAGCTCTGGAGGTAGAGGCCCTGTTTCTGCTCAAAAGTCAGCAAAAAGAGGAATCACTGAGAGAGAGATCATTCTCTCTCCTAGAACTCCCCTTTCACCAGCTAGAGGCTTCAAGTTCATTTTTTGATGTCTAGATTCTCATTCACTATCCTAACTAACTTCTTGTACCCAGGGGCTACCTCAGCCCAAACCTTTATATACTCACCACTTCCATTCTCCACCTTCTCTTTCAATTCTTGCAGATATGCCAGGTCCTGCTCCAATGTAAGCTCCGTCGTGTTAACATAGATGTACATGTAACATGAAGGACTGGGTGATACTGTGTATACCTTATGGTATTCACCAGCAGGCAACTGACAAGGGAGTAGAAATGCCTTATTTCAGTCTTTAAGCTTTTCCTAGCCAGCCTATGGGCTCCTAACACTCCCTGTTGCCCTACCCCCCAGATCTTTCTTCTCACTGTGATTTGGAGTCCAAAGGAACTGACCTCTAGAATCCTGTATGAGACTATTCATGGCCAGGGGGTCTTTGCTTTTGGAGGCCCCACAGCATTACTGCTATGGTTAAGCATTTTGCATCTATAATAAGCAAACTCTAATCATTCAAACTTTTCTGCTAGTGTTACTTCCAGCAAAATACCTGCATTTTCTCTCCCTCCTGAAGAGTCTGGTTCTTCTGTTCTGCCACCAGCTCCACAGTAACCTCCCCCTGCAGCAGCTGGATGCTAGTGTTGCCCAGGTCTTCGCTCACAAAATTCTCTAGGTGCAGCCCTGACAGGTACAACAAAGTTCCCCAGTTCACACCATGGCAGAGTGAGCTTACTCCCGGCAAGAACAGAAACATCACATTTTCACCACTTCCACCCCTCAGATTTTATAAACATTTCCCCTCACCAGGAGTACACCTTCCCCTCTCTACCACATGCAATGTCCCTGACCAAAGAAGTGAGGAGGAAAGACAGCAAAGCCTCTCCTAGCTTTTTTCCATACCAGGGAAATCTGCAATGAAGACCACCTCAGTGTGGTTGTCTAAGCTGCTCTTGATTTCCTGTAACTTGGCCCTCCAAGGAGACAGATCCATCAAAAGTGGCTGTAGCCATGATGTACGCTGGAAGGGGGACCAGGCAGCCTGCACAATGTCCACACGAGGGTCAAAAATCCTTAGGAAAGAAAGCCATGTTTTAAGAAGGCCACAACCACCTACCCACCAGAATTTCCAGTTGTTTCTTTCATCATCATTCCCCGTAGAGAGAATAAGGCTTCTAGGTAGAAAAAAATGGCCTACATCAGCATATTATTACCAGTCCAGGGCAGGAAGAGAGGGGAAAGAGATTCTAGAGCACTGGGAAGAATGAGGATTAGTGGCCATCTGAGAATTGTGTTAAGTTTCTAGCAGAACAAGTCATTACCTTTTCTTCGGGATGATGGTGCCCCCTGCTGGAAGCAATCAGCTATGCCCACAACCAGGTCAACATGGACATGCAACAGAGAAGGAGAGCCTTTCAAGCAAGACAGCACTGGGGAGCATGGGCTTTTCATCTTGGCAAAAGGAGCTGGACTTCATCTCCCCACCCCCTTCTGCTCCCCTTGCCCACCTCTGTTGGAAGCGGTCATTGATGGAGACCCAAATATCAAAGTAGATCTGGGGCTCAGTAACATTGTACTTAGGAAGCAGGCGGCTCAGGCAAGTGGCATATTGCTTCAGCATGTCTGCATGATCCTTCCATCGCCGGCTCTGTGTGAATACCTGTCCCAAACCCCCACATTAGTCCCACCTCATTGTTATTGACCTACTGGATGAGTCAGGCACTGCCAATGGTACAAAGAGCTCTGGCTGTTTGGACCGGGAAAAAACAAAAACAAAACAAAACTTGTCTCTAGGGAAGGATTTTTCATTGCTGGGCTAGTGGTGGTACTTACCTTTCTTAAATCTAATCTCAATTCAAGGAAGTGAATGACATTGCCTTATTTCAACCCACATAAAAACAGGTTCAACCTGGCTCCTGAGAAAGGCAGTGACCCCAATTTGTTTTATTTTATAATTGTATTTGGGCCCAAACCAGACCCCAAAGCTCAAGGGAGCTTTGAAGAACAGTAAATTGTCAGCATCAGAACTCTCACCCCAGGGTTAAGGTAGCCCAGCTCGCCAGTGCGGCCATCACGGTAGGTGATCTTCACATGCTGGTGGGAACGGGAGTGCACCATCATGTCCCAGGAATAGCCATACAGTCCATTTGTCCAATTATTATAGCCCTGAGAAGGCAGGGCAAAGGAAATCAGCTCAGTGGTTCTTGTGCTAATCCCATCCTTTACCAAAAAAGGACTATTAAAACCAGACCCATTTTTTCCCTACCGCTGTCAACTCTGCCACTTTCCAAGCTAACCCCTGGCCTACACATACCTGGGTGAGGAAATGGGAATAGGGCAGGAAGAGCTGCTCCAGGAGATACAGCAGGGTGAAGGCAGTGCCCAGCTGATGGCGCAGGCCTGGCTTCTGACCACCTTTGGCCCGGTTCCTTTTATACATGCAGGAAGCACTGGGCTGAGGGGCAGCCTTGAGGGGCAGCAGTTCTTGCACCCTTTTGGGACAGTGAGATATCAGCTTCCGAGGCCACTCAGGGGAGCAGAAGAGAGGGCTGCTGGCCAGCATGACATAGGGGAACATACCTAGAAAAGCAAGGAGAAAATAAGCATTTCAGGCATTTGGTTTGGGGAAATGTGGGTAATCCCCTCAACCCCTTTCCCTTAAGAAATCCCTCCCACGTATCCCACTTATGACAGAATTTCTTAACTAAAAGATACTTCCTAGAGATTCCTTACAATACTAGCTGAGCCCAGAAGCCCCAATCCTCTCCTCCCCATTTACTGCGATTCCACAGTGACTGCATCTGGCTCAGTTTAGCTCCTATTCTCATCTCCCAGTCCCAAGCAATGCCTCTGGCAAGCCCCTCCCTGCACACCTGTGGCTTCCCATTTCCTACCACACTATAGGTACTGACCAATGCTGAAAAGCTGGGAATTCATGCAGTGGAAGTAGGACACGAAGAGGAGGCCAATGGATCTTGAAGCATCAAAGAAGAGCAGGAAACCAGCTGAGAGGTCAAGGAGCAGTCCACACCAGTGCACCACTAGTAGACTAGTCATCTCCTCAGACAAAACTAGTCTGTGGACATCAGGGACAGGGTCAGGCACCAAACCACTGGAGAACCCAGCTTTCACAGCACATTTATAGCAAATGTACATCTGCTACCCTGTCCTTGCCAAAGCATCCACCCAGCAGGTAGGTAGAACTCTGCATAAAGACACTCCATGGGTTTTCCAGCCCCTTTACATTTCCACACTTTAGGTGTCCAACTGTTTTCAACATACCCTATGTAATAAGCAAGGGCCAATCTCCTAGGGCAAATTTGATTGGGAAGTGTGTGTGCTGTGGTGGGCAGGTTCCTCATAGAGGTTATAAATGAGAAGAAACTTTAAAAGGTGAATGCTTGACTAACATGATACTAAAGTCAAACTACAGGAACTGGGAAATAACAGGGAAGAGGGAAAAGAACAAAGTAAAATAAGAGAAAAGGAGAAATGAAAGGAAGGGAGAACTCAGAGAAGTACACCTCTGCTTTGTAAAAAGTTGGTAACACTGGTTCGGTCAGGGCAGGAACACTGACTGTCCACCTTCTCAGTATACTGGCTAAGAAATCCTTAGTGAGAGGCTGGGTGGCAACACAGGGACACAGGCACTACCCACAGCAACTGCTCAGGGCACCAAGTCACCCAGTTCTGGCTCTCTCCTCTCCTTTTCAAATTTCGTTCTCTTTATTCCCACCATACCGTAAGTTTCACAGGGGCAGCTAGGTCTAGATCCTTTGATATCATCAATTCTGCCTTATGCTGAAGAGAGAATGAGTGGACAGAGGAAAGCATGTTGCAAAGTGAGGCAAAATAGGAACTGCACACATAGCAGAGGTAAGTCACCCATTCTGTATCTGTGCCTCAATGAGGCCTCTGCCCTGGCTGCCACTCACTTAAAGGGACTGAAGAGCCAGTGCCGGGACAGGTGCTCCATGGAATAGCCTTCCACCCAGTCTGCATCCAGCTTTTTCACACCCGCAATGAAGTACACAATGAAAATCTGCAAACACAAAATGTAAAACAGATTATTAAAACAAAAAAAAAGGAACCTTGTTTTCTGCAGAGAGTCAAAAATAGAGTAAGCTCTCATTTCTGTTCAGAGTCCAAAGATTAGTTCCATTCTTTTATTCACTCATCTCAGATACTCATCCAGCAAGTATCTACTGATATCCCACCAACACCAGGCATGGTATTAGGCACCAAGGAGTCATAAAGTATAGACATTATTCTCTAATGAGGATTCTGCCCTGGCAGGGACAAAGCGCTATTCCCTCCATGACAAGGTGAGAGAGCTCAGAGATTAGGGTACTGGAAACAACAGTAAAGCCTTCCAGCAAAAGGAAAAAAGGATAAGATCCAGGGCAACAGGGTAGAGTGCAGTCTGGCAGTAGGAAGACCATGCTAACAATGGCTATCAAAGAATACCTCCCTGCCTCCTAAGATCTTGTACCTGGCCACGCAGCACAGCATAGTTCCAAAGGGGCACATGGGCATTCCGTTTTCGGGCACTCAGCAGGCCATCCACAGACCTACATCAGGTAAGGTAAGGATTGAAAAGAGCTTCTTAATCCAGCCACATTTCTACCTTCCTTTTTCAATATAATACTCTATCTCGGGACAACTCCCATATCTTGTCTGGTCCTCTGGGTTATTTTGAGGCCCTTTAGAATTACATGAGCAAATTTTAACTGTGATTATTTTAAGTCATAACAGAAATTTTACTAATGAGTTACAACAATAAGAAATTCAGTGTTTACCATCCTGATAGAATAAATCAGGAAATAAGACCACAACGCTACAATATGACTGAATTTGAAAAAGAATGAATTTGAGGAGTACTTAAAAAGCTCCAGGTGTATATAAATATATACAGTATATTTTTTAAAAAATTTCAACATCCAAAACAAACTGACATTTCATAGATCTGGATGCTAGGACCCAGTGCCAGAGAGTACCCAGTAATAGCCTACCTGGGGAGAGAACCGATAAACCCAGGCTCTAAGACTAGATGTATTCTGGAGAGGCAGAAACAAGAAAGGTTTTCAAGATACTGAATAAGCCAAAGAGTTGGGAAAGGGGCAGCTTACACTGTGGTCAAGAGCACTGTAGTCTGCAGTAAAGGAGAGCTTGATTCTTACTTGTGCCTCTTCCTGCTATGTGACCTTGGGTAAATCTTTTACTTCTCTAAGCCTTATTGTCTTCATCTATAAAATGGGAACAGCACCATGGACCTCATGCGGTTATAACGAGGAAAAATTAAAAGTGTCTAGCATGGCATGTGGAAAGCCCTCAGTAAGAGGTATTTTTTCAAATTGTATAAAGGTCATAAAAATAAAACTTTTCAGGGGTATTCTGTCAAATCTGCCTTTTAATTATGGCCATTCTGAATGAGTTTAATATTTTACAAAAGGAGTATTTGTATGTGTGCATTAACAAATGGACCTTAATGACTGATAAATCACTAACAAATTCAATGCTTGAAATCTCTTACCTATACATCCTCATCTTACTAAGATCTCATATTTGCTTTTCACTTAATAATGGAAAGAATTCTTAAAGGTCATCTGCCCTGCCACCCTGCTTCCAGATCCCTTTTCCACGTCCCTTGAAACATGGTCACCTAAGGGAGAGGTGGGGGAGGGTTACCTCCTCCCAGGATAGCACTCCTGAACAAGCCCTGCTGGGCCCTCTCCTTCTGACATGACTCTGCCTCACAGCAACTTCTACTCTTGGCTCTAACTCTGTCCCTCTGGGCTCACAGAAAGAAAGTCTGCTCCCTCTTCCACATGACCACCCTTGAAGTATCTGAGAACGGCTATGTCTGGCTTTAGTCTTCTCTTCTTCTCGCTAAAAGGATTACAGGAAGTAGAATAGATCAAGGCACCTGGGAAGATATGGAAAAAGTGAAGGGGTAGGAATGGAGCCATTTTGCTTTTTTGCCATCCCAAGTGCCCCAACCTCACTGACCTTTCACCCTCCCAAATTCATCCAAATTAAAATGTGCTTGTGACCTTTGCCAAGCATGGTAGAAATTATGCTCAACGGGGCAAATTCTAGGATTTCAGTGGGTTCTTATCTCTGGTAACCATCCTGACCCAGCCAACACCTCCCCTCTTTTTCCCTAGACTCATACCAGTAGTGGTTTGCATCCATGAATGTCAGCTGAAAAGCCAACAAGCCATATAGATAGGAGTGGTTGTTCCATGATGTCTTGTCCAGGAGAAACACATACCAGTATGGCAGCAGGAATAACATACAGCTTATCCGGTAGCACAGGCCCAGCATCATGCCCAGTGCCCCTGGGATTTGTGGGGGAGAGGATTAAGAGGTCAAAGGGTCACCACAGGCCCAGCTCCCCTAGGACAGGCTGTGAGTAGGATTAAGAAAGGTCTTCAGACATTTTATAATCAGGTACAACTAAATAAAAGGTCCTCAGACATTTTATAATCGGGTACAACTAAATTAAATGTTATTTTAATATCTGTTTAAAAAGAGCTATAGGGTCACATCTCAGATGACATATAGGTCAACAGGGTGAAATTATGAGTCACAGCAGAAGTGAAATAAGGAACGCAACACCTTGATCATTCACTAGCATGCTTTGTATTTCTCTGTTTTAGATAGGCCAATCAACAATCCCATAGTTTTCCTTACCCAGAAACATGATGGTATAGACAAGATACATCCAGTCAAGAGGCAGTGGCTGCAGGGCATCCAGCAAGGGGAAACGGCACACCTCTAGCCCATCCAGGTATCTTCGGTCCAGGGAGCTAAGTCCCCGCTCCTGGGGAATGTCCAATACCATTAACAGCCCTGAGAAGGTAGTTGGGAAGGGGGCCATTAGGTCTCAGCAATGGAGGCAGTCAATCAAACCTAGCTCCACAGTCAGAATTCTTTCCTAATCCTGGCTCTTCCATTTATTCATTCATTCAATAAAAATTACTGAGTGCCTACTATATGCTAGGCACTATGCCATTTATGTGATCAGCCACTGCACCTCACAGCCAATTCCCCATTTGTAAAAGGGGGCTCATAATATTTTAGAGTTACAGAGAAGATAACATGAAAGAAGCATACAAAATGCTATAAAAGCTGTTCAGGTTTTGATAGTTAATATTCATACAGGTCTAGCTACAGAGAGTGCTCTAGGGTGATGCTTCTCAACTTTTTCCACTTCCTGGCATACCCAGAAAACAGCACACTGGGGTAAACAGAAGGGGCTACTCAGGTCAGGAAGCAAGCTCCAGTTAAAGCAGGGTTTTGCAACCTCTGGACCATTCACATTTGGGACTGGTTAATTATTTACTTGGAAGGGCTATCCTGTGCATCATAGGTCAAATAGCAGCATCTTTGGCTCCTGTGTAGATGCCAGTAGCCACCAATCCCCACCCCAACATACATATGACAAATAAAAATGTCCACAGACATTTCCAAATGTCCCCCAGGGAAGCAAAAACGTCCCAAGTTGAGAACCACTGGGCTACGAGATTAATAGCGCGGCATATCTGCAACCATTCCAAAAGGAAGCTCTGGATTAGGGAGTCAGCCAAAACGTCTGCCCTGTCACCTCTGCCATTTCTCTTCAATCTAGTCCTCTGCCTCTATATTTCCTCCTCAGATCAAAGCTTTTCTAGCCTCCAAACCCTAATCAAAGAAGACAAAGTTGGGTTTGATCCTAAATTCCACAAATGCCTCTTCCAGGATACTGATATCTTCAGCTGTGAGAAAAAGGGAGATAAATCCACTAATTAAATAACCAAGAAATGGACAAAGGACGGTTCTCCCACTGCAACCACACGCGCCCCTCCCAGAAACTGGACTTACCAAAGAGAAAACGGAAGACAGCCAGGCTTGCAGGATCCGTTGGTCGATTCAGCAGGGTCACCAGGCTCCCCCAGCTGGATACATCCGTCCACTCAAAACCCAAGAGTTTCCCCATGCGGCTGGCCTGACTGGACCTTGAGGTCTGTCCAGCCTTGTGTTTCTGTACTTTATCTACAACCAAGGAATGGAGAAATATGCGTTCGCGTTTTAAAATCGGCTCACATCCCCAACAGCCCAGGGTCTCTGCTTACCTGGGTTCTCCCACTGTTCTCTACCAGAAACACCCCTGCGGTGCAGCCCCTCCCCGAGCATCCGCCAATGCCCCAGAACCTCTTTCAGGCTCTAGCCCCGCTAACCGCTCACCGAAAGTCATCAGCACTCCGAAGCAGCAGACTGTAACCTCTCTCTCTCTGCAAAACCCTTCCCAACCGAGGTCCTCTCCACCAGGTCCCACGGGGCAGTCCTCCAGCCTCCGCCACTCTGAGACCAGCACTCCCCTCTCTCTCTCTCCGCCGCAGGGTGGGGCTCTGAGCCTACCTGAGCCGGGCGGGCCCCGCACGGACCAGGCAGACACTGCCTTGATCCGGCAAAGGTAAGTCTTCTACAAAAGCCGCCTCCGAGGTATGGGAGTAGCAAGGGGCAGCTCCCCTAAGCCACGCCTCCCCGACACATCAGCAAGGAGCGGCCGGCCGGAAAGCGCCGAGACTGTCGTGAAGGGCCGTAGCCGACGGCTCCTGGCTCCCTGCTAGACGGCAGAGTGAGAAGCCAGAGGGTATTGGGGCGGGCGCGACAGGCCAAGGGCTGGCCTTGCCTCACCTAGTGACAGAGGAGGCGTGAGGACAGGGGTGTGTCTGAGGCCTCCCGACACGCCGCCCCCGGCCCCTCGGCGCTTTCAACTTTAGGAAGACTCGGATTCCCGCAAGTTCCTTGGTTCATTCCCCGTTCCCATTCAGCCTCTCCCTGACGTGAGCAATGCAGACGCACCTGTCAGACTTTTCCCTAGAGAGGTTGACCGCTGAGTTGAGGACGCACCTGGAAGGGCTGCCCAGCCCGGAGAGAATGCCCAAGTTCCTTTCTCTTCTCTTCCAGTGCATGCCAAGAACTAGAGGTTTGAAAGCAGCTGGGGAAACTAGCTGAAGAGATGCAGAATGTGGGTAGTGAGTAGAGTGTGGTTCATCAGGAAGATTTTTAGAGAAGCCTGCCTTGAACAGCGCTGTAGTGTCTTAGTTCTCCGCCCTGGAATTGGCCAGCAGGATAAGAGGAAGGCACACAAGAGCAGCAGTGCTCACATTTTTTGGTCTCAGGACTCCTTTACAGTTTACAAACCATACTGGAAACCTTAAAGAGCTTTTATTTATGTAGATTATATTTTTCCATATTTACCATATTGAGAAATGTCTGTATTGAGTCACTAAAAAAGTGGAAGCCCACTAAATGTTTGCATAAAAAACGTTTTTATTAATAAAAGTGTATTTCCACAAAAAGTGTAGTTCATATTGTCTTACATGCTAATCTCTTTACTGTGAGGGCTTAAATGAAGACATCTGGACTCTCATATATGCTTCTGCATTGGATCTGTTGTGAAATGGGATTGGTTGATACAAGGATAAGAAGGAAATCTGGCCTTTCAGATACTTAGTTGGGAAAGGGAGGAGCATTTTAATGGACTCATAAATAATCATGGATATCCTTCTTTGATAGCGCACCTGAACTTGCAAGTGGTAGTTTTTTTTGTTTTTGTTTTTGTTTTAACATGCAAGTGGTGGTTTTTAAAGGTTTACTCAGATGTGGAAATTGAAACCATATCAATGAACTTTATGCTCAGTTATATTAAAATCATTGGTATATCTTGCACTTTGAATGGACATTTTACTTATGCATGATATTGTAAAGTCATACGTGAGTAAAACACTGGAAAACAAAGTCATTTACTGTTTCATTGAGTTATACAGCTCTTCCAAAGGCAGAGGCTCTTAAATATTGGAAAGCTGCCAAACTCACAGTGGCCAATACCAGTTCTAATTTTCACCTGAAAGTTTAAATTTTATCATTGGCAACAATTACTGCTTATTGTTTTCCTTGAAGGAACAGTCTCCCTTCATTTTTAGGAAAATATCAAGACAAATATGCTACTTTGAATAACTATTGTTTGTCTGGTATCCCTTCAAGTAAAATAGTGCTTAGTAGGAGAAGAAGGAGGAGAAGGAGAAGAAAGGAAAAAACAGATGCTCAACATCTCATTTTATTAGGGAATTGAAAATTAAACAATAATGAGATACCTGTTAGAATGGTTGAAATCCAAAGCACTGATAACAACAAATGCTTGTGAGAATATGGAGCAACAGAACTCTCCATTGCTGGTGGGAATACAAAATGATACTGCCACTTTGGAAGATAGTTTGGCAGTTTCTTACAAAGCTAAACAGGCTCTTACCATATGATCCAGCAATTGTGCTCCTTGGCATACCCAAATTAGGTGAAAATTTATGCTTATACAAAACCTGCACAGAAATGTACAGCAGCATTAGTCATAATTGCCTGAATTTAGAAGCAAGCAAGATGTCCTTCAATAAGTGAATAGATAAACAAACTGTGACACAGCCATACAGTGGAATATTGAGTGATAAAATGAAATCAACTTGTAAGAAACATAAGTGATTCCATCTTAAAACTAACTCTCCATCTTAAAGCTAATCTGCCATCTTCACTCCCTCTTCCTTCCCCCAGGTGAGCTCTGAAATACAGAGCTCTCAGCTGATCACAGGACTCCCATTACTTCCCTCTCCAGGGTAAGGAGCCCTCAATGCTTCTGTTACCTCACCTCGGTGCCCAAACCTCTTAGCACCTGATCCCTTTGATTACCATGCAGCATTCTCACTGCTTTTAGAATCGGGGTGGAAGGTACAGGGATCCATTTGTCTTGTTGCTGCCCAAAACTGCTTTTTATATGTAAGTTCCCTATTAAACTCTCTAAACCAACAAACTGGACTTGTCTGCCTCATTTTTTGGCTTATCAGCCCCTTTTGCTTTGGGGGGCTGCTTTGCATACATGGCCCTTTCACAAAACAGTGCTATCAAGCCACTAAAAGACATGGAGGAAACTTAAATGCATATTGCTAAGTGAAAGAAATAAATCTGAAAAGACTACATACTATATGATCCAAAATATGTGCAATGCTGGAAAAGGCAAAACTATGGAGATAATAAAAAGATCAGTGGTTTCCAGGGATTGAGGAGAAGGAGGGAGGTCTGAATAGGTGGAGCACAGGGGATTTTTAGAAAAATGAAACTATTCTGTATGATAATGTAATGGTGTCATGGCACATCCATGTCCTTGTACTTTTGCCAAAACCCATAGACTGGCCCTGACCAGTGTGGCACAGTTGGTTGGAGCTTGTCCAGTAACCAAAGGGTTGCAGATTTGATTCCTGGTCAGAGCACATTCCTAGGTTGCAGGTTTGATCCCTACGCATATAATCCTCAGGTCAAGGCACATACAGGAGGCAATGAGTCAATGCTGCTCTCTCTCCTTTCTTCTCTTCCTCCCTCTCTCTATCTAAAAGCAGTGAAAAAAATGTCCTCAGGTAGGGATTAAAAAAAAAGACACACATAGAATGTGCAACACAAAAAGTGAACCTGAATGTAAACTATGGACTTTGTTAATATACCAATATTAGCTCATCAATTGTAAAAAATGTAAGATGTTAATAGAAACTGGGAAAGTATGAAGGGGTGTCTGGGAACTGTCTGCAATACTAAAAAAAACCGAAATAGTTAAAACAAAGGTTAGCTCAGCTTGTAGTTTAATTGCATAAATGTTTTTTCTTAGAACTGTTAGGCAACCACCATACTTGGATATGCAGAAGCACTGTGTGCATAGTTCCCATTTCTTCACAAAATAGTAAAAGGATGTATACTCTAGTGTTAGGAGTTAACAAAATTAATAATTTATACTGCTTCATTAAGGGTGTTCTTAATTGAAAATAGTGTTTTTAAAAATTATTTATTTTTAGAGAGAGGGAAAAGGAGGGAGAAAAACATCAATGTGGAAGAGAAACATCAATTGGTTGCCTCTTGCACACTCCCAACTGGGGATATGGCCCACAACCCAGGTTTGTTGCCCTGACCAGGAATCCAACCGGTGACCTTTTGGTTTGCAGAATGACGCCCAACCCACTGAATCACACAGGGTGAAAAAGTGGCGTTTTAAAAAATTGCAAATGCACAGCAGGGAGGAATACTATGACTGCTACTACAACTTGGTGCCACTGTCTCATTTTGCTAAATTGTTAAGTTTTACCCCCTATTCCTTTTGTATCATCAGTGCAACTGTCTGTACTGTTAAAAAGGCAAATAACGTCTCAGTATTGTTGTAGTTTTGTTTTTGAAGACTTTAGGGGTTCATGGGCCATGAGTTAAGGGCCACTATCCTAAAGGAAAATAATGGCAGGGGTAGGTGTAAAAGAAAGGATTATTGAGGACAAATGTGTTTGGCAGGTGGATTCCCTGGGCCAACATGTTCCTGCTGTTGAGGGTCTAGCCCACTTCTAGGTCATCCTAACAGACAAGTTGAGCGAAGTCTCTTTGGAAGGCATAGATCCATTTAGGTGATGATCTCTTAATCCACTGTCAAACCTCAGTCCAAATGAATTCAGAGTGGGTTGGGTAGTTTGGGCTAGCTCTTCTAGGACCACTCAAAATTAGATGGTTCCATTAAGTTCAGCATGTATGATCTGTGTGCCAAGAACTGGACAAATTACGTTGTGGCCTCTGTCCTAAAGGAGTTTCTCGGTGAGAAAACAATAATAAAAGAATATAGAAATAAAAGCATAATAATAGACTATAGAAAATCATAAGTATTCAATAAGTTCAAAGTGCCATGGGAACACTGAGAAAGAAATGAAAGAGCATGGAGAAATCAGTAGTTTTTTCAAAAAACTGAGCTTGGCTTTGAATGATGAGTACAATTTTGAGAGGAGAGAGGGAAATCAAAAGTTTCTAACAGTCTTTTGAAAAGTTCTTAATAGCCCTGGCCAATGTGGCTCAGTCGGTTGGAGTGCTGTCCCACAAACCAAGGGGTCACCTGTTTGGTTCCACGTCAAGGCAAACGCCTGGGTTGCAGGTTCAGGTTCTGTCTCCAGTCAAGCACATGTGAGAGGTGGCCAACTGATATTCTTTCTCACATCAGTGTTTCTCTCCTCCCTCCCTTTCTCTCTCTCTCAAATTAAAAATTAAGAAAAATGTTCACTTAAATAAATAAATAATCCTTAGTTTTGAGTGAACTGAGAGCATTCTAGGTAAGAAAAATACAGCTAATAAATGAATGCCTCGTATTCCATGATCTTAATTTTTTTGGTTCAAGGGGTTGATCTTCAGTTTATCCTTTCAGGACCAATATACAAACACCCATGACATTTAACATTAATTTATTCACAAAGTAGCCCAAAATTTAGGAAATTTCTTCATAGGTCTCTTCTAATAAAAAGTATCTTTGTCTTGGTGCAACCACTATGGAAAATAGTGTGGAGGTTCCTCAAAAAATTGAAAATGGAATTGCTTTATGACCCAGCGATTCCACTTCTGAGAATATATCCAAAGAAACCTGAAACACTAATTCGAAAGAATATATACATTCTTATTTTCA